AAAATCCTTTAGTTTATATCTGTTAAAATTTCTTTTTAATTAATAGTGAAATATGCACTTATTTTAGTAGGTAAAGATAATGGTAATAAAAAAAATTCAAATGAATTTATAACATATATTTCAAGTGTAAATGCAATCAATATTGAAATCCAAATATTATATAAAATTTCTTCTTTCTTATTCTATGTACAACAAAATTTATTAAAAATAAAAATAATAAAACTTACAAAAAAATATATAATCTATTATATTTGAAAAATATGTTTTCAAAATAATTAAAACGGCTTTCTGCATAAAATAAAAGCTAGCCGAGTTTCCCATTGATGTTGGGATTTTGGCCGGTGTTCTCAAACCACAGGTACTCTTTGACATATAATGTAGCAATTAATATCAATCAGTTCAATGAACTTCGTAAATATTTCATCGTATTCGCTAATGCAATATTGTAATATAATATGTACGACACTATGTATATATGTATAAACAATAAAAAATAAATTAATTGCAAACAGCCAGCATTTATTCTCTCATGCGACACATTTGTTAAATATGCTAAAAAATTCATTTGAATTTTGGAAACATGAGTAATTTTTGAAACATTTATAAAGTTTATAAATGAAAAGTTTTATATAAAATGCAAAATGCATGAATTTTATTACTTATACTTTATAAATAACATTTTTTTTATCGCCTACATACTCATTTTTAGATTAAAATATTTCTTTAGGTTATATATATCATAATATTATGAAATAGAAATTGATAAAAGTATCAAATAGTTGAAGCTTTTTGTGTTTACATTTTTACGTATAATTTTTGTTTTATTTTTAATACTAAAAGCTTATAGAATTTATTTTTTAAAACATTTTAACATATTTTATCATATAATTTTTTACATTCTACTTCCTCTAATTGAAATTTTCAAATCCTACATTATATGAACAACTATTAAGTTTGGTTAGATATTAGTACGTATACGTAGCTACAACGTAAAATTATTTAAAAAAACCGTATGATTATATATCATTCCTTAAAAAATTAAGATAGATCTGTGGTAAAAGATTTCTAATATTCATTAAGGAAACAAGACGACTCGTATTTATATAGAGATCTGCAAAAATATGCATAAATGGTAAAAATGCATCTATTCTTTTTTAATCAGTCTTTATATATATTTTATATATTTTATATAATATATTAATATATTTATATATTAATATATTTATATATTTTATAATAACAATTTTTTCAAATTGTTTTTTAATTCTTGATTTTTTCAACCTACAATATATAGAAATGTTTAAAACATATAAATTAAATTTTAAAAATTGCTCATGAAAGAGCATAGAAATCTTTTATGATTTTGCGACAGTGTTTAATTTGAGATCAGGTGCCATTACTCTGACGCTACACACGTAATGAGCGAATGCAGAAGATGAATGGACAAACACCTGTTTCTATTCAAACACCATTTTTCCTATATTCTTCTAAACTTTCGTCAAGGAATAGCCCATCCAATTCCATTTTCTTGACTTAATTTTCCTCTCAAAAGCCACCGAGCTCTCTCATCAACAGATATAATTCTGTGTTGAAGATCACCTCAATATTGTATATAACGTGAAAATATGTTCACAAACACTTGCCGCTCACTATTAAGAAAAAAAAATCATCATTCATTGAAATCCTCCGTAAAGACATTAGTCTTGTGGTAAATTTGTTGAAGAGTCACAGCCGATAAGAGAGCCATGCGAAAAAATTGAATCTTCCATTGAAGCATTCCTGTAGTACATGTGGAGCGTTTACACATATGCCTTCTATCTGCTTTGTAACCACGCTTCTTGTGTAACCGCGTTGCAGGTTCTCTATATTGGCTTTCTTTTTCGAGGATCTTGGTTATCTCCAGAAACTTTTTCTAAAAAGTAAAACTAGTAAAGTGAAGTAAAACTTCAAGCTGGTTTTTAAACCTCTAAGTTTTTATACGATAAAGCAATGGATCAATAGCCCAAAGTAGATTGTTAGGATCGCCAGTATAATCTGAATTAACCTACTTATGTGGCAAGTGTTAATTAATCAATCATATCGTATTGATAATCATATCTTATATATTGTACTGAATAATATGGTTATAGAAATTTTAAAAGATGTATTTTATATGTCTATCTAAGTTTACGTTAAATATTTCAATGTCAGTAGTAGTGTTACATTTTATCATTTCCTACATATTGGTTTTGAAAAATATCTTCTGTAATTTTATTAAAAATAAAAATAAAATTTTTTTCTTTTAATTGTAGTATTAATTAGTATTTATCTGCTTGATGGGTGTTATCCTTAGGTTATTTTCTATATTAATTTATTAATATTATTTCATAAAATAGATCAAAAAGAAATAATCTTTTAATATAAATCATTAACCTGTTTTTTTTTTTTTAATTTCAGCGAGATGAAGTGTTTTTGAATTTAGTCCTCGAATATATACCAGAAACTGTTTACAAAGTTGCACGTCAATACGCTAAAACTAAACAAACGATACCAATCAACTTTATTCGTGTATGTATTAAAAAATAAAAAAAATATAGAGTCAATAGAGTTAAATAAAATTATTAATATTTTTAAAATACATTTACAGCTTTACATGTATCAGTTGTTTAGAAGTTTGGCATATATACACTCTTTGGGAATTTGTCATCGCGATATTAAACCCCAAAATCTTCTATTAGATCCAGAGACAGCAGTGTTGAAACTATGCGATTTTGGTAGCGCAAAACAATTGTTACATGGTGAGCCGAATGTATCATATATTTGCTCTCGGTACTATCGTGCACCAGAGTTAATATTTGGTGCAATTAATTATACAACAAAAATCGGTAAGTATATATACATATATATATAAAAATGTTGAATAAGTTTCTTTATCTAATTATATTTTAATGGAATATTTTAGATGTATGGAGCGCTGGCTGTGTCTTAGCTGAATTACTCTTGGGTCAGCCTATATTCCCCGGTGATTCCGGTGTTGATCAATTAGTTGAAGTTATTAAAGTTTTGGGTACACCAACACGAGAACAAATTCGCGAAATGAATCCAAATTATACGGAATTTAAATTTCCACAAATAAAAAGTCATCCATGGCAAAAGGTAAACACAATCAATTAATATACACAATATATATATATATATCTATACATTTATGTGTATGTATGTATATAATCTATAATATATAGAGCAAGAGCAGCAGCAACGTTTTCAATCAATATTTCTCATTATTGAGGCAATTGACATTTATGCACGCAGTATCTTTCAAAGACATTATCAATTCTTAATTTGCTAATTTTCATGAAATGTGCTTTGTTAGTTTTTATTTCCTCATATTTGTATATGCATTACTTCCACATTGTATGCATTACATATTTTATTTTTCTTTTTTCTTTTTGTAAATAATATTTTAAAGAATTCTAAAATATTAGTGTTTAATTGAAGTAACCTATTTGCAGTCACTACTTGAACGTAGCCAATTTCCAAATGCACTAAGCCAGAAACAACGTTGGAGAGTAAGCAACAACAAACAAAATTTTTTTTCTCCCACGAAAAATACAACAATTGGTTTTTATTTATAAAATTTCTAACAAAAACAATTCGATTGTTTAAACATTTTTTCTTATTCATTTTTTTTTTTTATAAAAAAATATTTACTAGCCATGAGTGCAGTAATATTCATTAATTAAAAATTTACCAATTTTTTTCTTTCTAATACAACAACTGTTTGTGCTTGTAATTTAAATAAAAAGTGTGTGTTTTTTTTATTGAGAAGAAATGACAAACGCTTCAAGAATGTGTCTGCAATTAACTTGACGTCTCCAATTTAACTGCTCTCAGCAGTTATCATGCTGTTGCTATTTGCTTTTTATAACAAAACCTGTAAATAAGCATTATGTGCATATAAATTACAACCTATTCCTAACCTAATACCTTTCCTCAAAACCTTTGTGAATTATGTAAATATGTTCAAAGAAGAAATTTGATTGGAAAATACATTATATTAAGATACGTATAATTTACTTGATTTTAAAACTCATAAAGTTAGTTAGTTAATTATTATTGTTAGTTCACTTCCTTTTGGATTGGTAAATATGTAACAGGAATAATGAACGACACTTCGAACATCGAGTTCAACGACCAAGTGCCTTTCAGCACTTCTATGTGGAACTACATAGGCACATACTTGAGGGTTACAACAAGAACAACAACACTCTATTCTCCTTATTAGCTAGTAGCTATGGTATATAAAATAGTACGATTAAAAAATAGCGAATCTGCAATAGGAATATTAAACGGCACTTAGTTATCGTTATAGATAAATATTTCCAGGTTGTATTCTCGAGAGTTCGATGACTTCTCTTTATGAATGGCAAATCTCTATTCTCTCTTCTAACTGTCCGTATTCACAAATAGTGTCAACATGTGCATATGTCTGATAACTTCGGACATACATGTTCAAAGTGGTTTTTTTAAAAAAGTAAAAACGAATGTTGAATTTCCAACAAAAATAAATGACGACATTTCGTCGTACTTATTAACGAACGCAAGACACTTGATTGTCCTTAATAACAAGAGTCTACCAGACAGATTTAATCAGTCACAAAATGATTTCTCCAGTAACTAAAGAGACACTTGTTCGTTCTTGTTGGTAAGAAGATCAAAGAATAATATGCTGAGGTTTTACAAGTTGAGGGAGATAAAGGAAAGTAAAAATACCTTACCGAAAATTTGGAAAAATATTAAAAACAATATGGGATGCAAAAACGCAAGTGACAGTTCAAGATCGTGAAACTTGACATCTGCTGAGTTGCAAAGCATATAAAAAATAGTAGAAAATAGTTCTCTTGTAGAAAAAGTACATTTTAATCTAGTTGAAAATGTTATAAAACTTTGAAGCAACGAGAAGAGACTATATAAAGCATTTATATATAAATAATAGACATAGCAATATGGATCATTTTATTGAATAGGTAGATATTGACAAAATAGTCAACATGAATGAAATGATTCATATTATGGTTGTATTTAGAGTATGTCGACAAGTGGATGATATTTATTAATGAATTCAAAATAAATTAATATTAATATGGTAAATGGTATAAATAATTAATTTGTTAACAAAAGATTAGTGTAAACAGTATTAAAACTTCGAAAAAGTCAATACTAACATTTTATCAATGATCTAATAAATAAAACATTATTACCCATAGTATTTTCCAATCGATTTACTATTTTTGCACGATGACATAGTTATTTTTTTATTAAAATTTTAAATCCTTTTTATTTGTCCTAGTAAAGAAAAGATTGTTTTCAGTCATATATTTTCCAGTCAATACTTTCAATCAATTTAATTTGGATTTTCTTCTTTTAAATAAATTTTAGGTTTTCCGTATAAGGACACCTCCAGAAGCTATAAATTTGGTATCACAACTACTTGAATATACACCAAGCGCTCGTATCACACCATTAAAAGCATGTGCACATCCATTCTTCGATGAACTACGTCAAGAGGGTAATCAGACTTTACCCAATGGACGAGAAATGCCACCATTATTTAATTTCACAGAACATGGTAAGCTAATACAAAAATTATGTACTTTTAGAAATCGTTAAATCGTTTAAAAAAGAATGTAATAATAACATTTGAAGTATATTTAGTGATATATATTTTTTTTACAAACATATGCTTCACTATTATTATAATGTCATTTTTAAACGATTTATAAAACCTTTCAGATGTCTTTATGTCTATATTTATATAATTCTATAAATAATTTAAAATATTTTAATTATTCTACAGAACTATCGATACAACCAAGCCTAATCCCACAATTGTTGCCAAAACATTTACAAAATAATAGTGCAAATCGTGTTAACGTAAGTGGTGATGGTCCGTCGGGTTCTGCATCAAATCCATCAAGTGCCGCCGGTACGCCGGGAGCAGCTTCGCAAACTTCAGGTAAGCTATTGTTCTTTTATTAAAATTAATTATATATATTTTTTTTTCGTACTAAAACAAAGCTTTTTGTAAAAGAAATTGTAACGTTCGCCTAAATGTTTATAACAAAAACAGCATGTTATGTCAAGTAAAGAATACATTTATTTATATTAAGAAAATATTAAGTTATATTGAAAAATGTCGCGAGTATATATATTATTTACTTGTAAATGATTTGTGTTAGTTCATTATATCATAAAAATTGTTTTTATTATATTGAAAAACATTTCATTCAATTATTTTTTCTATATATATTGCTATAGTTACCAAAAAATAAGCTTAAAAAACACCTTTTTAGTACACTCGCCCTACACTCATCCCAAACTAAAAGATTTATATAGCTTTCCAATTTTTAAACAAAAAAATATAAAAAATTAAAGTTTTATTAAATAGATTAGATTAAACCGTATTGCAATTGTCACTTCCTCTATGTTATGTGCAAAGATTTTTTTTCTTTAGAATAATATTTATATTTTATTTTTTATTGCCAAATAAAACTTATAGTATATTTTATTCGAAACACATATGCATATGTGTTTAATTTTTATATGGAATTAAGCGCCTTTAGCTAACTGCGTTTAATGAACTGAAGTTAAAAAATCCAAAATAAATTTAGATATATATTAAATTGAAGTTGCTAATTCACAAAACTTTTATCCACCAAATTTAGTTAATAAAAATATACAATTAGTATGATAAATAATCTCAATTGTATTTAATAGGAGCAAGGCAAGCTACGCTTCGTAGTTACTTTTGTCTCCAAACGACCCATTCCAAAAACAGGTTTCTTAATTGAGTTGTAACGACTAATATATAGTTTAATAAATAATGTATTTTAATTTTTACGATTTGTTTAGATCATTGTATGAAACAGTTCACTCAAATTATAATATTCACTTCTCGTATTTATGTAGTTTTTATGTTCATAGTTAAATACGTTATGAATTTAAAAAATTATTTATATATCTATATATATAAAGTTCTTTTTTTTAGTAGTTACAAGCAATATTGATAGTATTATTTTTAAATAGGGAATATTGTAAAACACAACTTAGTTGTTTTGCAAACCCCATTTTTAACCGTTCATTAATCATTTGTTGTGTAGGGGGAAACAAGTCTATCCTTAAATCAATAAATCTCTAGATCTTCAGTTTAGAATATTTGCAGAAAATGAGTTTAGACTTTTCATTTACTTTGCAAAAGCGGAAGGGCTGGTCTCTGAAAGGCCTATTTTCTTAAGAAAACACTGCAGATTGAAGTTCTCTGTCAAAAACGCGGTGAAAATTTTAGTTTTAGTACCGCCTTACATGGATTACTGAATCTATTAGCTTTTTAATAGTTTTTAAAATAGCAGTTCTATCAGTATTTTAGAGGTTCATTATCATATGCCCTCTTCCCAGTGTACAAAATAGTTTAGGAACAACTAAACGACAGACATGTCGTTGCCTTTATGTTTCAGGAGTCAATAATATGGATAAGGATTAAGTGATCATAACAAACTTAAGTCTTTTAAATGTTTATCGCTTATTTATTATTTATTAAAAGTGGCATGCATTACTTTTTGTTTAGTGTTTTGTAATTTTTTTTTTTTTCATACTAACATATTTATTAATTACATTTCTAATAAAACTACAAAGCTAAATTTATTTTATTTCATTTTCGTTCTAATTTTTAACTTATTTTAGACATTAGTTACTTTTAAAAAAATTTTTTTTTGCTCTGTATAAAATATATGTTTGTAATCTTTTATTTTTTACAGATACATAGTGGCATAGTTCTTTCTATCTTACGTAATATAACATAAAAAAAACATTTATGAAATTAAACTAAAATTATTTTTAGATTTAAAAATACTGATAAAAAATCTTGAAAAAACTTTATATATATATATATGATTTTACAAATTTCTATATGCAAAACAAAAAAAAAACAATTAAAATAATTAGTTAAAATTTTTTTTATTTTCGATTAAATAGAAATTGTACATTTTTAAACAAAAATATTAATTTTTGCTAAATTAATTTTTTTTTTATATATATAATTTACTAGTTGCAATTTCAAATTTTATTTTGTATGTTGTTTGTGTATTTTATCATGTAAATGAAATACAAGATACCTATAAATGCACTATATTTAGAGAGAAAAAAATGGCATAATCACTTTTACAATAAATTATGTTTATTATATATATATGAATATATATAAATAAATTAAAAATGATAAAAGAAAATTTTTTCAATGTTAATTTAGAAATATATAATTTATTATATATTATTTTGTATGTATACAATTAATGGCTTTATTTTTTATATTTTATTTATAACTTTAATTTTAAATATTAATGAAAACCAACAACAAAATTCTTTGTTAAACTATTATTTGCTCTAGAAAAAATTAAATAAAATAATATAATAAAGTGAAAAAATAAATTATTAATAAAAATGACACAAATTTAAAAAAATAATAATAAAATATGTTTTTATTTTTAGTATAAGTTGATTGTTATAAATATATGGTATATATGGAAATATATACATATATATTTAATAAAAAATAACGCTCTTTTTGGTAGTTTGATATATTAACAATTATTTTTACTTTTTCTCCTCTTTTGCTTTGGTATTGGTTTAATTAATTATATTAATTTTTATTTTTGTGTAGTTTGCGTAACTTTGTTGTAATAACAGTAAATTAACGCATGTAAACAAATTTAATATATAATCAAAGATGTCAAATTTAATATACAATTTTCTGCTGAAAGTTTCTACCTTGAATCCTACCAAAGAATCAGTTTTTTTTAAATTCTTGTTACTTGCATTTGTCTGTGTTGTGTTGGTAGCTTATTTTGTTATAAAACATACATATAAGTAGAAAGTAGTAATTTTTTCTTAGAAATTCCTTCCTTTGAGCAAAGCACTATTTAAATGACATTATAGTATATATGGTAAGCTTAGAAATACGTTTGCAGACGAACCTAATAGTGATGTTGTGATAAACTCTTTGTAATAAGAGTTGAGACTGTTTAGATAGTATATAAACTTATTTAAATGTCTTTTAGGTACCACAATAAAAAAAACGCAATATAGACAACATAAATAATATAATAGATCTCACAAATTATTATTCAACTTTGTGATGAGTTTTTATAATTAGAAACGTTTTTGTGTTATAACTAATTTAAATACCATTTAAAAAAGATCTGAATTGATGTCTCTTCAATTCAAATACATATTATTCATAAGGTATTTACTTTACATAGTAATATCAGTTTATCATTGAATAATAAATAATCGTTTAGAGCAGAGTTTCTCAACCTTTGGTTTGTGTCATTGGTAACACCAATGACACTAATAGTCTTTGCAAAATACTTTGTCTATTTTGTCGTTCCGCGTTATGTTTAGGGTTGAGAAACACTGGTTTAGAGTACACTTTATTATTTACAAAACAATGAATAATACCATATAATTGTAGTCTGTTTATAATCATATATCTTCTCTGAAACCGATTAATTAATAATAATACATATTTTTTAAGCTGTGATCAAGAAGGAAGACAAACCAGTTATTAAAAAGGTCCAGAATGCACCTGCCTCAGGCAGAAGCAAGATATTATAAAAAATTGATGTGGAGATGAAGTGCACTGTGTGCCTTATTCAAAACCAATGAAATATGTGGCATATCAAAATTATTATTATATAAAATATATATTTAATATATCCAGAGTAATTAATGTAAATCAATTTCTTTTTGTTTTTATATCAATCGCATGTAAAAAGTTATTTCTTGAATATTGTTTGCAACAAATTTAATTGTTACATTATTAGAAAACAATTTTGATACTTTAATATAAACTTTTTTGAATTATTGTAAAAAAATCATTTGTTTTTTTTTATATATTTTAGGAAATCAATCCAGCAATAATGGAGGTGCCGGAGCAGCAGCATCATCTTCATCCGCGAACAGTGCAGCATCTTCAACTGCACCCACAACACAATCGCAACCACAACAGCAAACCAGTGATGGCAATAGTAACACCAACAGCCAACAGTCCGGCGCAACAGCAACTGGCGGTGCCACCAATGCTGGGGGTTCTGTTGCCGGTACACCAATACAACAACCGCAGCAGGCAGCGACGACAATGGGTTAGCGAGTTGCAATAGAATCGTTATAAAAATTCAATAAATTCTTATAAGAACTATATAAAATTAATAATAAGTATAACAATGTAACAAATGAAAATACATTAAAAATAAATTTATATATTTATATATATATATATCTATATATATATGTATATATATATATATATATATATATTAATATATGTATGTATATATATAATAGTTATATATACATATAAATAACAATAAAATATAATTAAAAGATTTATTAAAAAGTTTTATAAAATATAAAACTAAAAACAAACTACATATAAAAGTTTAAATTAATTATATATATTATTTATACATAAAAGCGATTAAGCTAATTAATATATAGCAGATATATATATAAAATAAAAAATATTTATATATATATTTACTTATATATGCATAAAAATAGAAAATATTTAACCTAAAAAATTAGTGTAAAACAAAGTAAATATAACCGAAATGATAATTTGCAAAATCAAAAAAAAAAAAAAAAAAAAAAAATTGCGAAACAAACCATTTAAACATAAAAACATATATTAAAATAAAGATAGATCCCTCATAAAGTCAAGTCGTAAGCCTTTTAAATTTAAAATAACTCAAGGCAAAATCAATTTTGAATAACTAAAACACAAATCACATTTAATACTTTAAAACCTCGTAGCCAGCTTTTCCCATCCCTCCCCTGTCCTTTTCCTATACGATGACTAGTGTAACGCAAAAGCTTTTACTACCTACACTCCTCAAGTTAAATTAATAAAAATTTAGTATAACAGTCAATATAAAAGTAAATAAATTTAAAACAATTTTAAATATTAAAATTAACAAAAATAGTAAAGTAGTTACAATTCAAAAATATATAAGAAAACTTAAATAATTAGAAATAATTTAAAATTATTATCTTAAGTTCTTATATATATATATATAAATAATATAATTTAATAGGTTTATTTAAGCTTTTTTATGTAAGTCAGTTTAATTTTAAATAATTATTATATATTTTATTTGAAAATTTTTATGATTTTATTAATATGTTATGGTAAAAATAATTTTAAAGCATGACCATTATTTAGAACTATAAATATCAGAACATAATTATAATACTTTAAATTTTAAGTTTAATAATTATTTTAATTATATGTATACAAAAAGAAAAAGATATATGTTCACGTATATATACACTTATATATATACATAAAACATGCACATAAAAATATACATGTACAATTTTTTATAAAAAAAATGTTCTATTTCATTATTAGTTTTTTTATATATATATAATATATATATATTTGTAATTCTGTTAATAAGGCAATGCAAAAATTGTACCGATAAAATGATTAAAAATTACATTTTAATATATATATATTTAAAACACGAGAAGAACACACATACATATATATATATTTATATAAATATATACATACATAATTGCTGCAAATTTAAATTCATTAAACTAACTGTAAACTTAAATTGAAATTTAAACAAAACAAACACACACATAAAAAAACATTACTTTAAATTAAAAAATACTAATATAAATTTTTAAAAGCTATTATTATAGTTATTAATTAGTACATCCACAAAAACAACAACAACAATATAAAACATTATGGCGTAAATAAAAAAATTTAAACTAATTAAAAATGTAATTTAAAACAATTTAATTTAAAAGCTTATGCATAAAAAAAATGAAACAAATTGTCAGAAATTAACTTCAATAAATAAAAAAATACAAAAATCTATAAAATAAAATTTAATTTAATAAAAAAAACTAAGATCTTTTATGCATTAATCTACCGATCTTGCTGCAAAAAACATTTAAACGTACACTCAACAGATTTTGATTAACATTTGTAAAACGTATAAAGTATAAAACGTATATACTCAAATTATTAAAAGACTTATACAGTTCAGTCCTACGTAGCACTCTGGAAAATTTAAAAGGGGTTGGTACAATGGTAAATATAACGGTTAAAAAGTACTAACTTGATCACCCTTGTTCTTCTAGGGTGATCTATGCTACAGATTCGCATAATTTCATAAAATATGTCAAATACAGACATATTAGGTTTCAAATAGAAAGCATTTGACCGAATACTTTTAGATCTAGCCATACGGAATCGCAAACTACCTTATATGAACATTCCAGCTATATTATACCAACTACTAACTGACCTATACTACAGTTTCTCATAATTTGATAAAATAAGTAGAAAGACAGGAAGCGAATAATAGGTTTCAAAAAGAAAATATTCAGCCGAATACTTTTGAATTTAGCCAGACGTAATCGAAAACTACCTTTGTCGTGGTTAAACAGTATTTTAACCAGGAAATATTGTTTACTGTATATTGCCTATTATTCTAACTAATAGATAAGGTATATCAACCTGAATCTATACTACCTTATATCTGTATACCCTATAGCTGTATCCAATTCAATTAAAGGAATTATTGAAAACAAATATGGAATGGACCACGTTTCTCACGGAAGTTTAATCGATTAGCCAAACTATTATCAAAATATCAAATGGACATCGTTTGACCAATAGCTTCCTCCTAACTTAGAACATTGAAATACTATCGAAATCTTCAAGAGACATTTATGGCCAGTATAGTTCTCACTGCTATTAGTTGTGAGCATCGCTAATTCGTCATATTTGACATAGACCCAGCCGTTCCTACAACCTTGTATTAGTATTTGTGATTTAAATTTTCTGCTCTATATTGTAGATCTCCACTACAGTAGCAAAGAAATTTCGCAAAGCCTATAGCTTGCCTAACGCAAATTTATCGTAAATTTTTTTTTTTTTTAAATCTATTTCTTTTATTACAATCTGTCAGGTATAAATGACAATAAGTAATATATATAAATATAAATCGTATTAATAGTTATTACGATCTCAAGAAAGGCGCGTATGGACTATGCCCAGTGACATATCCATATATATTCAAAATAGAAGTGTGTGATAGAAGTGTGATTAGGATAGCGTTGTGGAAAACCTTCTTTAAAAACAATCTGCTAAATATGAACTATATAAACTAGCCCATTTGCCTACCTGTACGAATACGAAGGACAGGGGAAGGATACGAAAATATATATAAATCATCAAAAATGTAGGAAAGGAATGGTGATTGCAAAGATGTTCATTTAATGGAAGGAGTTAAAAAGATCTAAGATTAAATTTATTGTTTAAATTTAATAAAATTAAATTTATTAAGATTAAATTTATTGTTATAAATATGTGTGAAATATTCATAACTATATTTATTAAGTAGATAAAATTCTATTCTATTTTCCATTTAATCTATTAATACAAATACAAAGATAATTAAACTTTTTATTTTTTAAGAAATTTATTTGATAAAGATAATAGTATAATTACAGTAGTTTAAAAAAAAAATAATAATATTATACTGCTAAAGCATCATTTTGGGTTTCATGACTCAGCTGCGTTTGTAAGTTTGATAATTTATTTTTAAGTACTTGTACACCCATAAGCACAATATTTTCCGGCTTCAAAGCACCTGAAGACTCAACATTATAAAAAAATTTATTTGGGACAGCCTCCCAACTGTATGTTGCTTCAAATTGCTCATCTTCCAGTTCGCTGTGTTCACTTTTTGGCCACTCATCTGGCTTAGGGTACAACGTATGACGCAATGCATTATCTGGATCATATTCAAAACATACACCAGCTGTTGGATTCCATTTAGCATGTTCTTTACCGAAACCTTTCTTAGCATATGCACGTAATTTAAGTTCCTGACCTTTTCGCAATTTCACAATTAAAATTTCATCATTGCTTTCACCATATTCATTGTCTTCTTCGTTTGGATGACGCGAAGTCACTGGAACAACTTTTGGGTTACTAGATTTTAAATCCGCTGTTGTTACATGCCGTGTTTGTTCATCATTGCACTTTACATCAAGTGTGAACTCAACGCTGCACTCAGGACAAAAATCTAAACAAACGCAATCTCTTGTATATTGTAATCTTTCAACCACATCATCAGAGATCAATGGTATCAAACCAATGCGATGAGCAATAAATTCATCCGAAAGCACAGTAGAATTGGCCTCCAGCTGCACCCAATCAATAGCGAGTGTTGGAGTCTCAGCAATAAAGACGCGACGTAAACTGTTTGCGACGCTCAAATCTGTGTCTTCCAGCACGAATTTAGCGTTATCATCAGTTAACTCAGTGATTTGCACTGAAGGTTGATTTGCATAAGGCATTATTCTACTTTTTTAACAATATTTCACAATTTAACTATTTAACTATAAAATAGAAATAAATCTTTTTGCCGCAAATATAAAACTATTGCTTTCGGCTGTCAGTGTTAAATGTAGAAGAGTTGCCATTACACAAAAATAAAATTAATTTTATAAAAATAAAACTTTCAACAGTTGGAAAGGCATTGATTTGCACAAATCACACAAATTACTTTTTCTAAGCAATTTGTGAATTTATGAATAAATTACATCAAAAATATTTAACCCGCAAGAAAGTATTAATATAAAATGATAAAAATATAAAATTAATAATAATCTTTAATAATCAATCATCATTTACATTAGATACTAAAATTATTGATAACACAGAGTTGTTATGAATTTCCAACAAATTTTTATTTTTGAATTTAGAACTATTTATTAATATCCATAAGAGAAAATAATCCATTAGAAAATATAAACAAAATTAGTAAATTGTTTATATCAGAGCTGTTCAAAGCACGGCTTGCAGACTACTTGCAGCCCAGCACATATTTTTAATCTACTACAATTACGCGTTTTGGTGTACTGGTAGAACGACATTATTTTATGTTTATAGTACACCAAGTAAAAGACTTTAAATTGATATACCAAATAAATAAAACTAAATTTAACATTATAATCGTATTTTTATTTTTGTCGAAAACAATTATGAACGCATGCATTCATTTTAGCGCCCCTCCAATCTGTACAGTGATTGGTATTTGCCCGCTATCGCATCTGGTCTGAACAGCTCTGATTCACATCATCAAAAAGCGCAATCCAAAACAAATGAAGTATTCAAACGTAAACGATAAAGCGATAAAATCATAAACAACTGAATTCACCTTTTTAATATTCTTACGGTGAAATTATAGGCGTTTATTGTGTGCAATAAAACGAGCAAATTTGACGAAAAACATCCACTAAGATGTGGATAAATAAATTTATTTATATTATAAATAAAAACTCTTCTCTTTTTGTTACTTTTTTTTAATAATTACAAATTACCAATTCAACTTAAATTTTATGAAAGACTTCACAATAACAATAAATCAATTGCTGTTATATCGAATACCGAAAACATTTTTTACTTTCTCGAATGATATATTTACGACATAATAGCCATAATTTTTTCGTTCAGAGTAGCAAAAAAATACTCTTAACATGCGAAAGAAAACGTGAAAAAACAACAATGCTCTTACAATCTTCAGAGCTAGATTTTATTAAACTGACGTGTGAATCCAGTATAACAAAGATTTTTGTGCGATATTAGACAAAGAGGCACAATTATTTAAAATAATCCAATATATTAGTGAATTCACACGAAAGTTTTGTTTGTAATTTTAGCTGTCATGTTTGTAATTTAAGCTGTCAATTGTTGTTGCTTTCAGTGCGAAATAAAAATGTTCTATTAGAGCATTCATGTCAAAAACATGAATACATGTATAATATTAAATCGAGTTAAGTATACTAATAGTTTTAAAAAACATCTATTTTAAGTTTGTTGTTAATCACCGTTTGTGTAATGAATTTAAAAATTACACGTACTACTAGTTAGCACTAGATGGCACATATAGTTATTTTTATTAATATAATCAATATACGAAGTTGGCAACTTTAAACTTCTATATTTCGAGATGTAGGCTAAATCGACTTATAACATAGTTGAAAAATTAGCACACATTCGACTGTCCAGGAAATCGAAATAGTGTCAGTATTTCATTTTGCAGAAAATCAGTATATAATAGGAGGACTTTTAAAAATGTTGGATCATTATCTGTGATTAAATCATATTCAAGTTCAGTTCATAAAATTATGATTAGAATATGGAAGCAGTAAAAATTGTAGAACGAAAAGAAACAACAAATAGTTGCAGTTTTTGATAAATATTAAAACAACTTTATTAATATTCTTTCAATAGAAAATGTTCAAACATTTTCTTTTTGAAGAAATAATTTCACACCAAATCTAAATTGTAGAACAAGTAAACCAAATCTTACTGTTAACATTTTTTACTTATAAAAGCCACATTTTCTGCATAAATCAATTTATGGCAGTATAAACGCTCAGCTTTTTGGCACAACCTAATTTAGAGTGCCAAAAAAAAACGAAAATTAATTGAAAATCATTTAATTCAATTGAATAAATATTTGCTAGGTAATAGAACATTATCTAGCTTGAATGTATATTTTTCACTATTCTATAATAATTAATTAAACAATATACAAATTTATTATTATAATTTTTTTATTGCATATTTTATATATACATGATTTTGATGTTCTTTTCTGGAGAGGTTAAGTACAGGCTGGTCCGGTTTCTTGTCACAAAATTTATGAGTGTGGTACATACTTAGAGTGCAAACCAATTAACCCTAGTCATCAGACATCAGAACATCGATTTCCGAAGAAAATTTCACACTCTTTAATCAAAGGAGTAATATTATTAGCGTATTTGTAGCTGATTTAAATGCCTTTTAAATCATTATTTAACAGTTTCACATTTAAGACATTTTAAGCTTATGCCCAAGGAGTCAACAATTATATAGTGCATCCAGAACTCAATCCATTCAACTTTTGCGACTACCGCTGTGGTTGTATGTCAACCACATTTAATTACTGAATATGGTTGCTAGGTGCGCGAGGTATATCAGACAATTTAGATCAGACAATTATTTTCGGTTAGAAAATTTAGCTAATATTCAATGTGTTTATTTGAATACAAATAGTTCATTTATTTCTTTAACTAACTAATATACAAAAAAATACAGCCTTTTATATCTAATATATAATAGAATACTTCGATTTAAGGAACATAATTAAAAGCCAAATAAAGCGCCTTTTGGCGTAATATTTCATATCCTTTATTTAGCATTTCCAAAATATAGGTACATATTCATATAACAAAATAAAACAAAATAAGGTATCGCAACAATAAAAATCTCAGCCCAATAAAACTTTCCGCATCATAAAACCACTAGCTTGTGGTCTTGGCTTTTCAGGTTCAATACACTTCGAGGAGCATAAATATTGTAGTAAAGGTACCCGATACTTTCCGCAGAAATCTACAAATTTGATATGCTCTACTCTGTTGTCGAAGAATACACCTTTACAATTTGGATTTACACAGCAATTGGCACTCTTCAAGTATTCAATGGTAGTAAGTGGTAAATCACCTGGTCCATATTCCTTTCCATTCGATTTTACTACGCGAGCGGCCAATTCCAGTAACGTAGGTGGATGTAATGCCATTTCTTGTACAAAACGCACGACTAGCGGATTATCTCGCAAGCTAAGCTGAAATTTTAAATTATATAATTTTTAATATTGTACATTTACTAAATTATATAAATAAATTAAATACCTCAGTTAAGTTCTTTAAAGCTACTATATCCTTAGGCAAATGCTTCAGTAAATTTTTGTGTAGCAACAAGGACTTTAAACTCTCTAAGCGAGCTATGCTTGTAGGTAAGTTTTCTATTAAATTATCACAAAGAACTAGAGCATGTAATTGACTTAAAAGGCCCACACTATCTGGCACTTCACTGATTTCATTACCACCAACTGATAGTATATGTAAGCTGAAAGCAAAAGTATGCATTAATTATAATTTAAAAATTACTAATTATATATTGGTAAAATCAATATAATATATTTTTATATAAACAGAAAAAGAGTTAAAATAAATTCCAAATGGGTATAAGACCTCAAACTAGTTTCAATGTATAGCGATTGAAAGCTACAGCTGCAATAAGTCTAGGTTTATGTAACTATCAGTAGTATCAACAAAAAGTCAAAGCTATTGATATATACTACATTTTTATTTATATCTTATCTTAGGTGTGTACTACCTATATATCATGTATTAGTTATTAGGTTAGGGCTTTCTTAGACCCAAGAAAGCCCAGTTTAACTCAAATAATGGGTCATTGTGGTACAACAGAATTGTCATTTGTTCATCCATTGACTAGAGGTCAGCATACGTCCAGCATACCTTCTCCTACTTAAAGATGGGCACTAACACATGAGATGGAGCACTGTTTCCTGCTTATTCTCAAAGCCTGTATTATTTATTGGAGAACCATAAACTCTCAATAAAATATTATTTGATATAAACGTACTAATATGTATAAATATATATCTCACAAGTAAAACACTTTAGTGTTCTTAAAGCTGATGCATTATATTTCTAACTCTAAATTAAGTACCAATGGTACAATCAAATGTATCATTTCTTTATCTACTTATTATTTATTTCTTAAGATTCAACAAATATATTTCATACTATCTTGTATGTTTATGAAACAAGTAATTTGATATATCCTAATTATTAATTTCTGATCATATAGAAATATTTAATTATGTTAACCTACACTTTCAGTCCATTGACTTCTTTCTTCTGTTTTTGTTATGTGCTTCTGATTAGCTGTAAATCACACATAGATCTATTGATCCCTAGAAATATCCAATACCAGATGGAGTTAAACCTCTACGTAGATTTTACAGTAGACATGTTTACAACAAAGCGAAACTCTGAGATAGAGCTATCAAGCATTTTATAAAGATTGTTACTAAAGCTTATATTTTGACCAGATATTAGTGGAATTCGAATATAAACTCTGTGTGTCGTAACTCTACATATAACATGTGCATCGTGTCAAAAGAGCGATCTACAAACAAGTATAATATAACAACAACTGTCTGGGCTTAGTATACCATAATAGCTAAAACAATAGGAAAGAGAGCAAGTATACCAACAGCAATTAATTCTGCATGTCGATGTAATTTGATTTCAGATTCCAGCACTTATTCATTTTTTATTAATTGTTATATTCATTTCTAGATATAACACACACCACAACTGCCTATGATTAGTATGACAACTAAAACCAATATTAAGAGAGAAACATAAAATACAAAAAGTAGTTAGTTCTACATATCAGTTTAATTATTAGAATCTATTTTAGTTTAAAAAATTAATTCATATATATCAGGTAGTAACAGTTTGCGTTTAGCATTATAGGTAGAACAAGAATTACGAGTGAAACACAGCAAAAATAATAACTAATTCCACCAATCTAATACGAGAACTATGAGTTTCAATTTAAATTTCAATCATTCTTATATTCGAAATTCATTCATTTGCTTAAACATGCCAAGGTATGAACATGCCACATTGGTTCGTTCTGAAATTGGTTTTGCATTTATATATATTATTATTTTTTTTTTATATTTGCATATTCGAAAACCATTTGCTCAATGAACTTTTGAACACCTAAACTTTTATTGAAGCTCTCAGTTAGTGATATTAAATTGAAGTGTTGTATCTGACAAACGGTTTCATATTTATATTGATGAAATAATGCATTATTCTTAGAAACTTGCAGTGACTATTTGCAAAAATATAACAATATAGAAATAGAATTAATATTAAAGCCAATAAGACATTCTTTTAATAAAATAAATATAAATACAAATTATAAAAAGTAAAATTGTGACTAATAGAATCAATACTTTTTGCACAAGTATTAAAATATACGAGTAGTAATCTCTAAATAAATAATTCGTTAAATTATTTATTGGTCAACAAATTAAGTTAAATAAATAAATAAAAAATGAAAGAAGTAAAAAACATTACAACAGAGAAATCGCTTTGGCATTGTCGATAAGTTTTTAAGATTATATATGTATGTTTTTATTCAAATAAGTCCAATAGAAAATATTTGACTTTTTGCCTATGGTATATTGAAAAATGAAAGGTTTTTCGTATGATATCATAAATCTAAATCATCAGATATAAGGTAAAGATTTGTATTATATTTTCTATCATCGATATGGATTACTAAAGGTCAATAAATAGTCAATAAAAATAAGAACACTAAGCTTTACTATAACCCTAAGATCCTCTGATTGGATAAATAGAAATTTAGTTCCATTACTGAAAGATAACTTTTTTAGTTAAGATTATAAAATGCATACTTGTTAACTGTAACTTTCATTGATTTATGATGAAGTTATGGTACATAATAAAAACACATTACCACTAATATATCCAGAGTAGCCATAATATTGCCCAGATATACTACGTGACTTTATAATATAGTACTAATATATTATAGTACATAAAATAATATAGTAATATATATATATTATAGTATAGTATTTTATGCGGTACTGAACCGATACTATTTAATATGGACATCCGTGCTAAAATATTTCTGAATCAATAGCGACAATCTTAATCAATCGTACAACGGGTTTTATTAATTCACCTGATATTCATTATAGGTATAAGGTGTTTTACCAAACACAATATGGCTTCTGATAAGGGTTTTGTTAGAGATGTATTCAGAACTTTTGTTTTACCCGTGATATAAGACGTACACAATATTGAGAAATGAAACACGTTTTTCAGTTCTTTCTGTGATATGGAATGCATAAGACCCCATTACCTGACAAGCCACCATATTTTAAATTATTTTATGAAATATACAATTTTCGGCACCCATATACAAGTAGTGCTACGAAATATGGCTCACGACATAGCATGAAATGAATTAGTTTCTGCACAATATACGGACACAAACTGTGTATTCATGTCAAAGACTTTTCTATTCCTGGACAATCTGAACCATTTATGTTAATCAAGCAAATTTCTTAATCTGTTGACAACGAATTTCTCAATTGAAAAATTAAACTAACAGCGATTTATTCAAATACGAATTAGTCTTCAGTAATACAACAGGAAAAGGATTTTCAGGCATAAATTTTTTTATATTTCATATACCTATAAACTGCTTTTTGTCTAACGATTTTGACAAACTTTGACAACTATATTACACTTCAAAATTGCACAAGGATATCAAAATTTCTTGCTAACCGAAGACAAAATTAGGCAATGAAAGGTAAGAGGCAAAGAGTAAGATAAACCTCTTGGGTTCAAATTTCAAAAATAGTTTAAGATAGTTTTAATATTAATGAAGAGAAAACATGTTTAGATATAGTTAATTCGGCAAATGTTCAGAAGCCTTTCCAAAAAATTTCTCTACTCAAAATTTCATTTGATTATTAAGACACTTATGATTATTGTTTATTAAGATATATGATTACCTATATATGTTTAATTTTTAATTGTTGAATTAAATAGGCAGACATAGCTACATTGATTCGTCTTGTTGAGGGGATCAAATATATATATATATACTTTGTAGGGTCTCTGATATGTCTCTCACTACCTAACACACTTCTCAGAAAAATCTATAGATCATTTTCACATCAAGTGTGTGAAGGGGTAATAACAACGATATGGTAAGATTTATGGAGTTAAACGAGTGTACTTAACAAATGAGAGCTCAAGTTGTCTGGAGATAAAATTTTTATTGTTCAAGCTGATAATGAATGAATGAGTGGAAATAATTTTAACAAATATTTTAAAGCAAATTAATCGGTATTTGAATGTCTTTTTAATTATATATAGAAACACAATAAGTAATGAAATATATGAATAAAATGAACATATGTCTTGTCGGCTTTTATAAAGACGGAAATATTTACACAGACTTAAGATAAATATATTGTTTATTTATATGTTTATTATTAACAGTTTTCAATGTTTTATTGACATAATATGTTGTACTCGTATTATTGTTAAATAAAAAAATATATTTTTTTATAAGGCGTTAACTTTCGAAATAGTAAGTAAAAGCTGCAATTCACATGGTTAAATGAACTATGTATATATAAGTGTGTAAATAAATTTAATTTACAATTTGTGTGAATTAAAATGAACTATATTTTCTACTTGATATTACTAGTTTATATATAAATAAATAGATTATGGAAATACCATACAAAATAGTAAGGTAAAGAATTTTTAGTTTATTATTGAACTTGTTAAGAGATTTTAATTGCGAGAACATTTCTAAATATTTTTTTGGAAGTAACTAGCAGAAAAAAAAACAAGGGAAGGGCTAAATATATAGCCGAAACATTATTAAATTTACGGGGAAAGCAAAATCATTATACTGAAAATCAGCAAGCTCTTGTATAACAATCATAAACATTTAGTTACGGACCTCTATGACAATTCGAAAACTCGCCCACAAGGTAAACATACAGTTCTCAATAAGATTACAACTAGTCAGTAACTGGTGTCGCCAGAGATCAGTGGGAACGAGACTTAGTTAGGTGAGTAAGTTAAGTTAACGAGTAGTTAAAAAGTATCAACATATAAATATTTCGAACTCGTAATAATTCCAATTTGAATGAAATATTATAAACCTTTTTTTTATATATTAGTGAATTATTTTTAGTCCTAGTATAATAAAAATAGAATTATGCAGTGGAGCCCCCATGACAATTCGCGAACTCGCCCGCAAAGTAAACATAACTATATATTCCTTGTAATATTAACATGCGGCGCCAGTGATTAATTAGACTTAGATTTCAACTTTTATTAGATTTAAATATTCAAACAACTAACATAACTAAGAAATCGTAAATTCAAATAGGTTAATTTCAATGTTGTACAGGGTCTTTTTTGAGTAAGTACTTGTTTCAATATAATATCACTCAAACCACT